AAATCAATGAAAATTGTTGTTTGTTTTTCACAAAAAACAAACACCCCCCCCCCCCCCCGCGGGGCTTGGGAGCCCCCCCCGGGAGCTGGGGCAGTGCCCTGCTGTCGAGGCCCGCGGGCTGCGCGGTCCCGGCTCCAGTCTGTGCATTCACGTGGACACTGGTGGGCAAAGAAAACCAGAGCCAGACTAGGCAAACTTCAGGCACCTCGGCATGAGTTTTGTTAGGAGTCTTGGGTTCCCGCTGAAAGCAAGGACCCAAATGGAAAAAGTGCCACCACCATAGGCAAACCACAATCGGAGATCTTCATCTGATCAAATAAATCACTCTAAGTAGCCATTTCATGGGAAAAATTGTTTGGACTATTTGCTAATACTGAAATTACTTGCTGCAAAGCCATCTTATATTAAATATCTGCAAATGGAGATATAGACCCTGAAAGCATTCAGGAATACTATAAATAAGATATAGAAGAAGATTTTTTAAAATAATATTTGCTAATACTGAAATTACTTGCTGCAAAGCCATCTTATATTAATTATCTGCAAATGGAGATATAGACCCTGAAAGCATTCAGGAATACTATAAATAAGATATAGAGAAGATTTTTTAAAATAATTAAATAATCGAGAGTGGCCTTTATGGAAAAAAACAAGTTATTTGTTTCCACAGGAATACTATAAATAAGATATAGAAGAAGATTTTTTAAAATAATTAAATAATCGAGAGTGGCCTTTATGGAAAAAAACAAGTTATATTTGTTTCCATATGGCCAGGATAAATGCCATACTGCTTATTCCGTACAGATATTGTATATATTATATATTTACTCAGCTGTTGCATTATCGGGATCATTTGCTGTTTTCACCACTTCACTCTGTAACCTTGCAGAATCCTAACAGCCCTTCCCGTGCTCCCGCTGTCCTCACCAGGCCACGGCCTCACCTACCGCAGGCTGATCCGCGCTGTATCTGCATGTATTACACCCCTCTGGAAATTTGCATGCAGTGGCTTCCTGCAGGAAGCTGGTCTTCTGCCAAGGAATTTTCCTGGGTATCCTTGACTATTCTTGCTCCTGTATGACTAAGGGTCCAATTATTACCTTCCACCCCTATATTATGGACACAAGTGAAGGGTATAGAAGAAAAGTAACAGCTAGCTACTACTGCTCAATGCCAGCGACTAGGTTTTATGGACCCCAGGCCTGATCAATTATGGCAGTACATGATTTTCTGCTTGCTGGGTTTGTTGTTCTGGTTTGGTTTTCCCATTTTTTAGGTTAAGGATAAAAAGGGAAAGTTTATTCTGAATAATGGAGTAGATCAATGTGTACATGACATTCAAACATCCCTTCACTTATCTTTTCAAATGACCTCTGCTTGGGATTGCTGTCTGCACCAGGCTTCTTCCCAGTTCTTCCTTTCGGTTTGTTTTTCCGTTGGCTCATTCTTTGTTTTGTTGTGTTTGTGAGTCCATATTGAGCAGCTTCTCTTACTTAAAATCTCATATACTTTCATCAGTACACAGCTGGTAACGTTCCAACTTCATTTTTATTGGACTTGTATTTTAAGCTGATGATGTGGCTTTTTTATGCTCCATCCGTCCCATCCTGCTCAAATTGAAATAACTTCTGCTCATAAACTTGAAAGGGAGAGGGCTTGGCCCTCTATTTGAAATCAAAGTTCTTATTTGCATATGATGCATCCAGAAAAAAATAAGGAGACAGAGTATATTATAGAAATATAAAACAATCCAGCCAATAGTTCTACTAATTAAGATGGATTTTTATTCTTGAAAAAATTGGAGGTTAGAAAATATGCTTTAATATGGATAACAGCTGTACTGCAGAGTAATGATATAAACAAAAAGAATCAGTAACTGCCTTCATGTAGAAGTTTGTTTCTATACAGAAACCAAGTTCTATGTGCACGTTATCATCTTGCCACATGGGGCTGAGACCCAAAAGCTCCATGGGCTCCAGGGGCTGGTGAGGCTGGTTTACAACCTTCTTTAAAATTTTAAACCAAACCAAACTGAGAACAAGTGTCAAACAACGAAGCCAGATCTGCAGTTGGTAAAAACTGTGCTTCCACTGAACTCGCTGGAATAAATCCTGATCCCCCACTGAAGTCAGTGAGAGTTTTGCCATTGACTTCAACAGAGCCAAGATTTTCTGCAATAGATTCACGATGAGAATTTAGATGAACCGAGGATGTGCCACATGGTGCGGCAATGGGCTCATTATCCTTCCAGAGAAAAAATGGATCCATTTTTGACCCTGAAGAGGTGGTCCAAAGCATGCCAACTACCACAGAGCCTGAATGAGTAAAACTTAATAAGGGAAGTTCTTACATCCCTGCTCTTACACCACTATAGCAGAGAAATTCAGGGGAATACCCTCCCCGAAACTAGTTCTTCCCCATTTCCTAAACTATTTGCCCAGGATTCTTGACACGGGCAGCCGAGGTCACTGCCTGGGTTTCCATGGTAGGGCCTTGCCATGGCTGTCTCCAGCAGGATGCTTCAAACTTTTTTTAGAATGAACTAGAAAAAGCCAACGTGAATTGCATGTACTGCTACATTACTCATAGTCCACAAACCTCTAAATTAATTGGTGTGAATGAAGTCACATCATGTTTATTTTACTGGAATGAAGGGAGGAGGACTAGATACTGCAACTGTACTCCAATAGTTTGATCTGAGGGTATGCCTATGCTGCTGCCAAACATGACTACAATCACACAGATGTTTGCCTTTGCTGGAGGGAGGCATACAGAAAGGAGAAAATAATGCTCTGTGTCCTGAACGAATACCCAGTCTGAAGGAAAGGTGTTCTAGCAGCTTATGCTGAAATACCCAAAGTAGCTTTAAACAAGCTAGATGAGCTACGAAGAGCACTGTAACTGAACCAATATGGAGTTCAGCACAGACTGCCTGAGTATTTACTTGGATTTACAGATCTTCTTGTCCGCACCAAGTATGTGCTGTCAGTTCCTGTTCTAGCTAGAGTACATCTGTATAAACTGCAGTCAGACCTTCCCTGTGGAGATGTTCTCTCAACATTTAATTTTGCTTAGTAAAATGAAAGCATCCTAAGCTTAAATCACCAGCTACTGCTATGAAAGTGTTCAAAACCCATATAACTGCACATTGCAACACGAAACCTTGTATCTGAGATTTCTAAGATCTCTTGCTGTTTTCAAGGGAAAATCAATCTTTTCCCTATGTTCGTTGGGCTGTGAGGGGAGATGCTGGACTGCAGCACTGTGCGTTCTCCAAAGCACACGCCATCACCTGAGCAGGTAACTTACAGTCTGCTTACAGCCCTCATGATCCAAAGTGGTCCAAGCTCTTACGCGAGAGGCTACCCAGAAAGGAGAGTTCTCATTTCTGACCTCCTTATGGGGAATGCGATACCTTTCTGCAAAAGGACTGTACGTTGCCTGCTTTATGTTCTTATGTGGATCATTGTCTTTGCTTTCACCCTTAACTGCTATGCATACTTTGTGGCTATGCAACATTATAAAGCTTAATAAAAAAGAAGAAAAATTAAAATAGCGTGCCAGTTCATTTCTTCCACACTTGACATTTCCAGGCTCTGTATTGTTTGAACCCTTTTCCCATTACGTGGCAGTATTATTACCTAGAAAAAAAATGCATGTTTTAATGCCGATTTTGAAGCAGTGTATGCTAAAGAGCAGTAACTAAAACAGTCCTGCCTTTTCCCCCCTTTACC